AATCTCAATTATTGTGTAAGAAACTGACATTTGAATTGAAAGGGTTCATCTCTCTCTCTGCCTGATAGAACGAGGTTAGCATGTGAGGCTAAAGCTCAACACACAGTCTAAACATAATAATAATAATGTGGTCATCCTCGCAGCTCTGACTGGAACCACAGAAGCTCCGCCCACCTGGCGTTCACACTACCATACTAAATTCACTTGCGTAATTAAACATTTAAAACAGACAGTTTTTGTGACATTGAATGCAAAGCTGGAAAGTTATGAGACACAGTGCTGCTGTGGGGCTTAACAAGCTCCGCCCACCCACAGCATCACACACTGTGTGCTGCAGTTGTTGTGAGGACAAAGACCCAAAGAAACAGACCAGTGGATGACTCAGCTTACTGTAGTTAGCCCAATAAAGTGTGAGCAGCAGGTGAAGAGTGCAGAGTCACAACATTTGCCTTGTTTTTATATTTGTAACAAACAGGTTAAAGGTAGCAGCAGGTAAACAGGCGAATCTGCCTCTAAACAAATAGCTTAAAGAAACATTTAGGGCCAGAATGAACTATTATAGGCATGAAATAACAGAACAGGAACCAACTGGACTTCAGATAGAGAGGCTGACGTCGTCTTAGTGCCCTGAGTTATAATTTTGGTCGACATCAGTGGGAGCTGTGGAATAACTGCACGGCTCATTACTAAAGGTTCATGCTCAGCAGGTCCCTGATGGTTTCCTCTGTTTCCAGTTGGAGAATAGATGCTGTTCCATATCTGTCAGAGCTGAGCTCACCCACAGGCCATCGCGCTTCATGTGTAGCACATGGAAACACGTTTGTTTTAAATAAACAGATTCATACGAGCAGCCGTGCTTTTGTTTGTTTTGGTCGGCAACATTCAAAAGAATATTTCTGGTTTGTGGTTTGAGACAAAATCTTTGTCTGTTTGGATTCTGCTGAATATGAACTCCACTAGTTCAAACCTTCAGTTTGGATGACTTCAGCCTGTGCTCACTGACCAGAACAGTTCCAGCAAACATTGGTGTGTGCAACAGCTTCTGTACAGAACGACCAACGCAAAGGCCACGAGCCAAAGCAGGTGAGTGGATAAATGCAGGCATGCAGGAGTGAACCTGCACCACGGCCCTTAACCATCCGGGTTCACTGCTGGTCAGTCATGTGTCCTCTTATGTTGTTGCCACATGAAAATATAAAGAATTAAAATAAAATTGAATAAAAAATAAAAGTGACCATCTTACATTTACTGTACGTTTACCATGTAACACAGATTTGTATCTGTTTCTGCTGAAGTTGGTGTGAGACATCACAACGATCATCGTGAAGGACACACATTGTGATGCTGTTGAATTACACATGATGGGACTTTATGATATTTTAACCTCCTGGTTTGCACTTTGTCATTGAGAGAATTCCACAGTCCACTGAGAAACTCTGAGAGTTAATGCTCAAGGCCTTTAAAAAAAGCTTGTTTTTATCCAACCATGAAAACAACGACGGTCAGTTTACTGTAGAAACGAAGGACAGCACAAGTCCTTTATCCTGGGATCAGAACAATTCAATTTGCTTTTACAAAGCTCAGATAGGTGGTCGATAACCAGTCGAGATTATTACTGGACGCAGTACTGCAGGTAAAAACAAACGGCGTCAAATCACGGCGTAAAAGTCTCTTTCTGGAGTGAAAGCTTCTAAGAGGGGGCTTGTACGTAGGAGTCGACCAATACCAGCAGCCGTCTGAGCAGCACATCTGTGGCCAGTCAGCACTTCTGGGTCCCCAACACACATCAGCAAAACACGACCCGAGACGGAGACTCGTAAAAATCCCACATGAAAGCGCCAACTAAGGACGTGCTCCGCAGCGCGTCTGCCTCCAACCAAACGAACCTGTTCGCATGACCTTCATCGCGCAGTCCGTTCAAAGCAAAACCACAGCCAGCAGACATCAACAACTTGTTTATGTGCTCGAAAGCAGAAAGTGAAGTGAGGAGAGCCGACACCAGCACCGCGGTGCCGCACAACAATCACGACGCTGCTTCTGCAACAATAGGAAGGCTCGGCTACGAGGCGCGCGTAAAACTCCGCCGGTCGGAGCAGCCCCTGATTCAGGCGCGCCGCCAGCTGTCCGCCCGCAGAGCAGAGGCGCAGACAGGTGAGCGCACTGAGGTGAAACACTTACGGTGAGTGGCGGCGGATGCTCCGCTAAAGACGCTCAGCGTGTAAAGGGTAACCATCGGCAGCAGCAAAACCATTTTCTCAGCTGTAGTGCGCTATTATCCGTGAGTCCGCAGAGAGCAACGCAGCACGGCGGCTCCTCCTCGGTCCTCCGGCTTGGAGGGATAGCAGAGGTCTGATGTGAAGGAGCGAACCGCTCCCACGATGGCACTCCCTCACTGCGAGGTACAGCCCACCCCCGCTCCCCTCGCTGCCTCTCTCTCTCTCTTTGTCGGGTTCACATTTTATTGGCAGAGCGGAGCACTGCGATGCCCGAGCGCTGCTATAAAAACACAGAACAATAGCAAAGATCCGCAGAGAAAAGCCGCAATCGCTGCTGTATATCGCTCCGTGTGTTCACACATCATGAAATAACGCACTTTGCAGGCTGCTGATGACTTCATTTCACCGCACAGCAAAAGCTGCTGTGGACGTTTCCAGAAAACACGGGCTTCAAGACTCAAGTCCAGCGCACTTACATGCGTTACATGGACATGCGTGGGAAATATGAACCATTCCACGCGGAATAAACAGTCACGGCACTTTGTTGAAGCCGATGGCAGCTGTCACAGGAGATACTTACATGTTATTTTGTTTCATCGCAACAAAATATCGGATTTTACTTAATACCTCCTTTATTTTATTGTATTTACTTTGACTTAAGATTATATTTGTTTTGTCAAGTTGAATTTTATTTGACTGAGTCTATATCAGGATGTTATTTAGACCATTTGGTTACAGATTCTCCTGTCGTCCATCTTTAAAGACAAACGATCACATAACTTATATAGTTTATTTACTGATTTTTATTAACACTGTAGCTCTTTCACAGGTGATCTTTGGTCGCTCGCTGTTGTTTCATTGGTTTTAGTCCAGTCTTTGTACACAACCATTTCTTAAAGGAGTGTTTTTGTGTTTCTTGTCCTCTTCATACTGACCTATGAGCAGTGTTGGGGAGTAACGGAGTACATGTACCGC